AAACAGGAACTCTGGATCTCGTCTTCATCAAGTGCGCAAGTGTGAAGGTTTGGCAAGACCGACAACCGGATGGTTTAGCAGTTTATTGCGGCCTGAACCATTATTGGCAGAGATTTTCGGCAAATGTGAGAGAACCACTTAAATAATTATTTTAATTTTTTCCACAAAATACTTGCAGATATACCATGTTAGAATATTGTTTTCAATGTTTTTCCCCCAAATCTGCTATACCAGCTTTAACAAGCAAAACAGTGTGCTGTAGGTGAGTTTTAATTCACCTTTGTGTTCCTTTTATGATGACGTGTCTGTTAACAAATGTAACAAAATCAAAGTAGATGACAGAGTAGATGGGCTCTAAAAGACAAACAGCCATTTAGTGTGACTTTAGTTATTAAGGTGGTGGAGAATCATTTACCTCCATGGTCAAATCCTTCTTTGGGTGGGTGTGGTTGGTGTTTGGGACTCGCTTTGGTTTACTTTTAGGCACATTTGTTAAAAATACCTAAATAATCCTGTCACAAGATAAAAGTTACATCCAAATAACCACACAGAAGAGCTACACCTCTCAAGCAGCATGTCCAAAGGTTAACTAAACCTGCAAATCCTCAGCCGGTTCACGACCGCTGGACTTTGTCACTCACTTGAGTTAAATGCACATAAAACATAACCTAATCATATTCCAAAACACAGATTTAATTTAAAAATGCATTCAATTATAAAAATATTATGACCAAGCTATTTGTGGCCCATGAGTAATTACAACTGTTGGCCCGTGTCTTGATAAGGTTTGCACAGGCCTGCTACACAAGAAAAAGCTGGAGAAGTGTATCGACGTGAGAAAACCGTGCACCGTGTTGCTCTGACCTGCTGGGTCTAAATGCATTATATTTATAAATCTGATTAACTAAAACAAAAGCTTCCTGTGATTGCAGGAGTGAGTTAGCATTTATTGCTGGTGAGTTCACAGACCAGGAATGTTATATTTTTTATTTGCTACATTCACAGACTTAAAGAAATCAGAATTTTGATTTTGACATCTGCCAATCAATGATTCTGCTGATTCTCCTAAACTTTGGTTGATTGTGACCATCTGCTGAGTTTTTGGTGCAACTCTGCAGGAAAGAGCTGTTAATGTTTTCTGTCTGTGGTGGTCAGTGTCCTCCTGTGTGCTGTTCTCTAAAGCAATGGTTGCCAAACTTGTCAGCTTCAGCTTCAAACCCACAAAAAAAAGAGCAATCATCAGGACATTTGACCCCAGATGTTTCTGATTTGATACAAATTTGCTTAAAAGGCTTAATAATTCAGGGCATAAAGGAAACTGCTTTGACTTATTTTGGCAAATGAGTTGTTTTTGTGACAGCTTTGCTTGAAATATAGCTTCAGCAATAATATTTCAACTTTACTTCAGCCTCTGGAAATCATTTCAGGATTTCCTGTGTGAAAAGCCACAGTGGGATCCCGAGCTGAACCTGGAAAACAGCAAGAAGAGGGACTGGGCAACACTGGAGAAGAGCTCTTGGCCAAATCCCAACGGCCTGTAAACAACTACGTCATCAGATGGAGGAGTGCGTTCAGTCAGCAGAGCTCAACAGAATGAGGGTCTATGACTCCTCCCAGCTGTGACAGAGCGAATCCAAAACGTATTCACCTTGAGAATCGTTTTGTGTCTGTTGGGAGACAGATGCCACATACCTGACGAATGAGATCCTAACAGGACCCGTGTGTGGTGGTAACTGTTTCTGGACACACAAGCTTTAGTCTTTGACATGATGAGTTGCACAGTTGTTTGCTCTTGACTCATAGGTGGTAAAAATAGAAGCTTTCTGCCCTCCGATGGTATGAACGGGGTAATAGCCAGTGGTTCCATCACAAAGATAAACACTGAGTTTACTGGGAAACACAAGAACCAGGCAGCTTGAACTAGGTTAATCCAGATGAAGCAAACACAAACACAATATTATAGTAAATAATGAAGAGAGGCTTTTGGAGAGGCTCATCGAACATTCACGTGATCTATTATCTATGTTTTCTATACCACCAAGCTGAGCAGGAGCTAAAAATACAGCTTTTTGTTTTAAAGTAAGAATTAATGCGTCCCGTAGATGTATTTACAGCCACTCTGAATCTTTTTGGAGCTTTATATCCGTTTAAAGGTGCAATATGTAAGAAATAAGTTAGAGCGACATTCTGTGATCTAATTTGGTTACTGCAGTCTAGTTTTTTAAACCAAAGGTCACTTTCTCACTCCCGTCCCGTCAGTTTCATGGCTATTTCTAGTTACGAATCAGCGCCAGAAGATTCTAGATGACAAGCAAAAACAAGACATACACAGTAAGTTGATAAGTAGATAAATACTTTGTCATACTGGTGTTAGCACTCTTGGGAGTTTTGTGGTAGGAGCACTTACTCCACTTATTATGGGAGTGTGCCTCCGGCATTGGCTGTATAGTTCTGAACGACTCATTAAAGGAAGTAAAACACCACGACTCGTTAATTCACTTCACACACACACACATTTCAGTGTTAAATGCAAGGCAGCTTTATTTATGGAGCACATTTCAAACACAGAGGCAATTCAATGCACTTTACAATTATCAGGACATGACATGAAAACACATAAATACACAAATGAAAATACACACAGATAGAATTATAGTTTAGAGCTAAAGGAGAAGACAAAGTTGGAGATAACGCAACATAAGAAACAATGCTTTTAAAATGATGATGAGTAACGGTATATTAGGGCTTTTAGTTCTGATTAATACAACACTAGGATTGGGGCACATTTGAGGTTGTTGTTGAGTTGTTGCTAATAGGGCTTGTGATCACACGTGATTACGCATAGCATTCTGGGATGTGCGCGGACAAGTTGAGAGCTTGAAGAGTGTGAGCAAACCGTGAAACAAACGGTACTGTCGCAGAGAAGAAGCGGACTTGGGTGAAAGAAAGTGTTAAACAACATTATAAAATCCCAACAAGGATGTGGAATATACAAGGAATATGCTAAATAAAGACGCCGGGGACCGTTATGTGGACAAAATCAGCATCCTAAATTATTTTTATCCATATGAAATACCCAAGATTGGAGCACCGATGACATATTGTTGCCGCCACAGTTCTGCATAAGGGACATTTTCAACTATCTTGTTTGTGGTGTGAGCAGATGTAAACATTTTATTTGTTGGTTTTTCTAGACAAACAATCAGATTTGTCATCCCACAGAATAAGTGTAGCAGGAGAAGTTGTGTTGTGAGTCAGCGCCCGCATTAGCTTACAGGTATGTGAGTGTAGTGTGTGTGTGTGTGTCTGTGTGTGTGTGTGTGTGTGTGTGTGTGTGTGTGTGTGTGTGTGTGTGTGCCTGTCGTGGCTGAAGGAAAGAAACAATGTATAAAAAACGTACACCATCTGTAACTTACCAGAATGAAAATAGTCCAGAAGGTGATGTATCTTCTGTATGTATTTATAGCCACTCTGAATCTTTTTGGCACTTTATATCTGTTTAAAGGTGCAATATGTAAGAAATAAATTAGAGCGACATTCTGTGATCTAGTAATGTATGTCAGGCCTTACAGCTGCGATCCAAGCAAGCCAACAACACTTTCTTATGCTAGATACTTGGTCTCCGTGGTTTTGCCTCTACGCAGGAAAACAGTGAAAATTTAGCCTGTTTTCCACTCTTACTCCCCGGGTGATCACGTGTGTCACCCCACAACACAGTATTGATAGACGTGTGTGATATAACCAATCAACTGAATACTAGATTAATTTAAGCTGCAAGAACGAGACTAAATGTGCTGTTTACAGTAATAACAAGCAACAAGTAAGGACTCGCACGCCTCCAACGGGGCGGCCGCGTCTGTGAAGACGCCACGAACACAAGCCCTGTTGAAAAAGTAGTTAAGTGATTTTTTTAGAGCAGACTATTTGCTTCTAATTCAACACAGTATAGTTAGCTTAACATTAGTCTCAGCCCTGCTTCACCCAAAATTATGACACATTCATATCTGGGTAATCTGTGTGTTTTCTGTGCTCAGCCGACAGTTTTTTCGGACCTGCTTCCCAGTGGTCAGCTTGGTGTAGAGCCGACCCAGCACACCCCGACTGATTGGCTGGCTGAAATTCACACCTACCTATAAAGGGAGCCTCTAATTGGCAGGTAGAGTCAACCACTGATGGCTTCCTGCATACAAGATTCCTTATCATATCAGTCTGGATGCCGTGGAGTAAACATTTTAAAGAGGACGCCGCAACTTCTCTGCACGTCTTTTGTCCAGATGTGATTGCACCATTAGAATAAAACAAGGTCCAAGAAATAACTCCAGGGTCGCTCTACTTCATCGGCTTCAGTTTTTTAAACAACCCAGGAGCTTTTTGCCTGCCGGTGTTGGATTACAAATACCGGCACTGCTGCTCTAGTTGGAGTAGACTCAGCAACCTCACAGACTCACAGGTTTAAACAGTGATTGTCCCTCTTCGGCCTTTTAAAAGGAGGAAAATTGACACACCCTCAGCTGGCTGAAAAATAAATCTGTTCCGGTGTAACTCTTCCAACATGACTGAGACATTAGACTGTTTTGGGATTATTTATCTGTAAAATTATTTTCCATAATTTATAAATGACCTTTCACGTGCGTTTCCTATTTCCAACCATGAGATGTCGCTATTTATCAAGATTGGGCTTCACCAACAATCGCTTTTCAACAAGTGATTATTTTATAATGCCTGTTGTTTTAAATAGTTATAAGTATTAATCAGCACTAAATTATTTAAAACTTTTTTAAACTGTAAAACAGCAGTTAGTTCGTTTCAGACAGAAAACTAATTTGACCCCTTTTATCTGATTTTGAGACTATTGTTGTAATGTTGCGTTTTCTTTGTTGATTAAATGTTTGTGTTTGTCACAATACGAGGGATTAGAGCCGCTCATTTCATATGGGAAGGCACATATGACGGGGGGGATATAGAGGGGGAGGAAGGGGGAGGATTTCGGCTCAGACAGACAGCAGACCGGCTGTCCCAAGCTGCGCTGATCCTTCACTCTCAGCTCTCCTCTTTATCACCGACCACCTGCCTCTCCGAGAATAACCCAGCGGCTTCCTAAAATAAAATCCCGCAGCAAGGATCGCTCTCAGAGCCATCACCCCTCTCCTTCCAGCCTGGGATTTGTTGTCGCTACCAGCTGACTCTCACCCGCTGGACCGGGCTGGTTCAGAGGAGCCACTTTTGCATGGATGCACCATGGCCACGTTCGTCTGCAGGGTTCAGTTCTTAGACGACACCGATCCGTTCAACAGCACCAACTTTCCAGAACCGACGAGACCCCCGGTGTACACTTTCAGAGAGGATATCCCCCTCATCAACCAGTTAGCAGGCGTCCACCGGCTCCTCAAAGCCCCACACAAGGTAGGATTGTCCCTGCTCTCGAATTCACTTTCCTTATGGAAACAAAAAAACATAAGGTGTTTAGTTTGTTTTTCCTCTTCAGTCCTCTAACAAATTCCCATCACCGCCATTCAGAGGCTATTTCAGACACAAGTGACTCCAGCCTGGAATTACTTAAGGCTGCAAATGATGGTGATGCCTCTCAGCAGCAACATCAAACATCAGCTTCAGTTGTTTTATATTAAACACCATCCCATCATATTTACTACTTTTATATTTATTACTTTTGGGAATTCTCAGTTTTTCATTTTGGTCTCTGCGTAACAGGTGGCTCAGTGCAACCAGACATCTCCAGCCTCACTCATGTACAAGGGAGAGTCACACACCACTCAGGCAATCAGAAACATAAATCCCAGAAAATGTGCAAATGTCAGCCTAGCAAGTCATTCTATGAAGAAACATAGTCTGGCCCACGGCCCATAGACAGAGCTCGGTCATGGGGCGGAATCTGTGATTGTCTTTCAAACTGTCTCTACATGCTTGGACAGCACTAGGACCAATCAGAGCAATGGAGAACATGACATATTCCTTGCTACAGAAAAAAGTCAGTGGGGCAGTCCACCACACGCCATTGAAGAAGAAGACGAGGCAAATACATCCTTTTAGGAGATATAGAACCTAATTTGACTTCTTTGGTTTCTTGCAAGTTTCAAGAAACCAAAGAAATCCAGTTGCCTTCATTTGAACCCCTTTGGATTACCATGGCCTGGATAACTGAGAACCTTCACCAGCATGAATAACCTAAGTGCCTCTATCTGCTCATACGTCAAAGAAAGGCTCAAGTCTAAATCGTCCAAAGTCAATGCAAAGCCGTTTCAAACGATCGCTGTTCCTGAGCTGACGGAATCTTTGTTGATTTGCTGAGCCCACCACTCACTTAAAGCATAGAGCGCTGTGATTGGCCCAACCTAAAATTGTTTGGGTCAATGAGGCTTCTAAGGAGCATGGCTAGACCAAACTGCAGAACAAAATCTTTTAGTACAGCTACAGTTCGTCTAGATTTCTAGGCTACAAGTATGCATCAGAAGAATCAATCAGCCTCTTAGAAAACAATGCCGCAAATTTACCGCAACACTGATGCAGCATCAGGGAGCCTTAGGTCGTTTAAAAGTGGTCAGACCATGGCGGTAATGATGCACAGCTGTGTCCTTTTAACAAAGATTACACGATGGCTGTATAAAGGGGTATGGGAGCGGTCTCAGCGCCGCTGATGACTTCTGTTTAACTTGGACATAACTTGCTTTTATTGCAATCGAAGCCATGCTCATTAAGTTTTTTTAACAAGTCACTCCTAAAGATGGCTGTCACTTACAGCCTCGTGAATTGTCAGCTGATCTGATCTCCAGCTCTAATGGAGCGAAGCACCTAGAGCTCTTCATCGCTCCAGTTTATCATCTCAGCTGATTCTGTTCAAAAAGATAAACTTACGTCTGTTATTTCTTAAATTTTATATATAGTTGTCGGCAGTAACTCCCCATGTGATCATAACACCGCCCTCTGTTGTGCCAGGGCGTAATTATGTATTCACAAGTCTGGCACTGTGGTAATATTACTACCAAGCGTGGCAGCACAAATGATGCAAAATTCCCACAACGCCATGCCGCTTTCATAGGACACACCAGTTTTACGCTGATTTGCCGGCACGGTGTGTCTTCTAAAAAGGGCTAAAGCCTCCCTGATGCCCAAGCACACCAGCTCAGTCACAAACGATCTGACTTTATTTTTACATATTAGTTGTATACAGATGCTTAAGGGATTGAACTTGAGTAAAAATGAGACACTGGGAGATTTGGTGTTGCCACAGGGCCCAGTCAGCAGTTTTTCCAAACCCTGCAGCTCTTTCTGCTGCCCAACTCCTTAAAAGCCACAAAACAAATGAAAAGTGGCCCACGGCGAGAGAAAAGCTCATGATTACAACCTATACATGGACAGATGGTACAGTCTGTATTGCAATTTTTTCCCCATCAAGAGGAAGACTTGAGCGTAGATTATAGGGATGGAATGGAACGGTTGTGAATGCGCCCGTCGTTGTCCACTTCTGAACCTCGATGATTCTTACGTTTTGCTTGGAAAGTGACGAAACAACAGGATTTTAGCGCCATGAGGGAAGTTTCAGTCAGCTGAAGCGGCCGTTCTCTCGTGATGCTTCAGCTTCCTACGATTTTCTCTCAGAAAAGCCTGCGGTGTTATTATGCTGCGATGCGAGATCTCTGTGCAAGGCCTGCTGGGCTGCAGCTAAAGTATAGGTCACTTGTCCCAGAATTCCTGTGGCCATGGCCTGGATCCTTGCAAAGCTTTGTTCTCCTCACTTTGGGTGCCGTGGTTTTCCTGACCTCTTCCTCTACCTCGTCTTCCACCTCTCTGACCACGTGCACACACAAACACATAGGATGGGCTGCCAGATCTAAATCGGACTTCACGGGATGTGTCATTTTGTCCAAAAGGCTGCCCGACAAAGACGCTTCACTTAGATTCTCACAGTTTTCTTTGCTAAACTCAGAGGCAGTTCTAGTTATTTTGAGGCTCAAGGTGAAGCATGGCTAAACAGCCCCCCCCCCCCCCACACACACACACTTCTTGTTATTATTCTCTATCCACATTTATTGAAAACCTGCTGATAGATTTTGTTTCATTTCACGTTCAGCATCAAAAAGAGCTTTATTCTCTAATTACCCCTTCACCAGTCAAAAGCCTTCATTTGGACTTAATATCAAAATGTTCACATTAGTTAATTTTTAACCCAAATAAAAGATTTTAACAAAAAATGTCAAAACATTAATTCTATTTAGCCTGTTTTAATTTGGTATTAAAATTAGATCAAGTGTTTCATTAAGATGCACAAATTCTAGATTTGCGGGGGCTGATACTGATTTCTGATTCTTGTGTAGCTCTGACCTGCTGATTCTAATTTATCTGACAGAACGGTATCAAGAGAAAACAATTAAAAAAAATTCAGATTAAAGAACAAGTCACTCCCTACCAGAGTCTAACTCCACTCCCATTTCCTGTTTGAAAAATGCACTGTGTCTGGGGCCGTGTTCGAGACGAGCCAGTTCTGCGCAGATTAGACCAGCGGTGATCGGCGAGCAGTGCATGCCGGTTAGATTTGTGTCCGACTTGACGCTGACTTGCTCTGACGTCATGCATACGTAGGCAACGATAACCTCGTGAGATCAAGGTGGCCGCAGATTTTGGAGCAAGGCGCTGCAGTTGCTCTCCACCGGCTGCAAACCCTAGGGCATGACAGGGAACGCCAGGCCCTCACCTGATCTAAGACCTGATTGGTTCACATTTTGATCCAAACATCTGGTGGTAGAATGTGAAATGTTAGTTGGTCACATGTGTTCTGTAAATCATGTGATATTGATGATAACTACACTCAACAAAAATATAAACACAACACCTTTGTTTCTGCTCCGATTTTTCATGAGATGGACTTAAAGATCTAAAATTAATTCCAGATACACAATATTACCATTTCTCTCAAACATTGTTCACAAATCAGTCTAAATGTGTGATAGTGAGCACACACCTCAGCCTCTGTCTAAACCTAAACTGTCAAAAGGTGAAAAATATTGCAATTAATGAAAATTCACCTTGTAACGATTAACTCTTACATCGAGCGCCATGCGAGGGTTTTAACATCATTGAAGCAGCTATTAATTTGTATTAAAAACTCCCATCATTCTAAAAATGACAATAAACCACAAACTTCAGAGCTGAGCTTTTATTTGATTACCAAAGAGTTCCTGTTAAAGCATCACAGAGGGATTTAATCACCACATGGACCCCCCCCCTCCCCCACTTTATAAAGAAACCGACCCTCTGCAACCGTGGACTCGTGCTCGCCGTCTAAATTACGTAAGGGCATCTATAACTGTCGACTCACCCTGATCGCCGGCAGGCTGGGTGTTATTTTAACATGGAAGTAATTACATCCCAACCCCCTCTTTTTTCGCTTTCCTCTTCTGTGAGAGTTTGATTAAGTGGGTGTAAAAAACACCGCTAAGTGTTTCCCTGACCAAATCCCGGAGCTCCGAGGACCGTTTTTTGATCTGCTTCCGATATTCTACAAGCAACTGGAAGTGTGTTCTGGTTTAAACCTCCACGTTCCTCCTGAAGCGAGTGTTTTAGGAAAAAGAAACTGCTTTTATGGAACGCTGCCAACACCTTGTTGCAAGTGGTATAAAGGACAGGTGGTGACACTCCCACTCCCAGTCCGGAAAGGGTAACCTAAAGGACCAAACTTGTGAGAGGAAATCTTAAAAGTGTTAAAAACGCTTGCAGACGGAGCTCAAGAATGCTTTTGTCTTATTCCTACATGAATAAAAAACTAGGGCAGTGGGACAGGGCACGATTAACACCCCACCCACCGTCTCCACTCCCTTTGCCTTTGTGTGTGATTAACAAATCTCACACACATGAAAAGTGTGAACAACAATGGCCACAGTCTTGTGTTTTACAGCAGGTAGATTCCCTGAAGGACATGACCTCTGGTGGCTTTTTCCTGTTTGATGGATTGGTCAGTTCCACCAGCTTTATTTGTAGTTTGGCAGCTGAACGAGAGGTGGGTCAGCTAGAGAGGGAATGGGAAACAGGACGAACATTTAGTAATAAACACACTGGGTGGATGGCCTTCTATCAGTCACTGGTCGTTCACTCAAGTTAGCACAGCTGCATGGAAACAATCAGTCATTGGTGACCTAATACCTGATGGGATGCTACATACTACAGTGGATCTTGTGAAAAAGCAGAAAAAAAATTCTGCACCGTTTTAGACAATTCCACTCAAATAGGGTTAAGCCCCAGTCATTCCAGTTGGCAGTAAGTTAAAAATAACTTGTGCAGCTGGTTGCACACGCTGGAGACATTTGAAGTTGTTTCAAAGCAAAACTAAAGAACTGTTATCTGTTGTTAAGCAACAATCTTCACCTGTTCATTGTTTGAGTTGATTTCATGTCATGCTTGAGAAATAAACAGAAATAACTGGGTTTTAATTGACCAAAACATCGATGCATTTGGCTTTGTGTGTTTGGCTAAATGGATTAGCCATTTGGTGCTGATGGATTCATGTTTTTGTGAACAGATCAGGACAAACTGGAGGAGAACCCAAATCCATCATGGTTGTTGTGTACGGATATGAGTCCAGCTTCTGGGACTGAATGAAAATAGTGAATGGATTGAAGCTTCCTAGGTTGTAAACTGTAGATATTTATTATTTAAAATACAACTTTGATTTTCTCAGCTAAATGCAATTAATCCAAATTAATTTGTCTGTTTTGAAATCATAATTCTGTATGCAACGGGTGCAGCCACTAAAACAACCAGAGGATTCAATAGACCTTAGAGGGGCGATGAGACTCTTAATACAGACGTAGACAAAATTGTTGGTACCTTTCGGTCGATGAAGGAAACCCCCACAATGGTCACACTGAATCTGACAAAAGTCATAATAAATCAAAATTCTATGAATTTAACCAGTGAAAGTCAGACATTGCTTTTCAACCATGCTTCAGTGGAATTAATAAATATAAATGAACTCATGGAACAGACTTGGACAAAAAAGATGGTGCCCATAGAAATATTAAAAACAATGTGACCAAAGGCACATGATTTAGATCATGAACACATGTGATTTGTTTTATTTAGAGATGAACCACTCATGTAGAGACTAATGAAGGCTGAGGAGACATTTCAGCTGTTCGATTAAGGTGTTCAAAAGCACAGCGAGGAGATAGGTTCCACTTTTGCTTCTACTAAACGGACACTAGGGGGTGCTAAAAGCAAGCCAAACTACCTAGTATCTCTAGGGTTGTGTATTGAAAACAGTGTGGCAATACAATATATACGTTATCATATTACAGGGGAGGTGAACCAAAATATTAAAATTTTTAAATGGAATTTAATTAGAATACTCAGGCCAGACACTTCAGACACTCCCTTTGGTATAGTGAGGTCTTGTTCCGTCAGAGGGAAGGCAGTAAAGACTGCTGCCATCTAGCTGTCGAAGGTTAAACTGCACCACATACAATAAATACAGTAAATATTTACATGTAAATTCTCAATAAAAATCGATACATTGCTTTTAAACGTCAATTCAGTATCATAACATGAAATATCTTGATACTACAGTGTATTGATATTTTCTTACATCCCTAAAAAGCACCACTTTGGTCTTGGTTATCTTCAGATTAACTGTTAGCTTATTAGTCCTGTCAGATATCTAAATTTCTCTAAACAGAGGCCATTCAAGATCATTTCTCCTGCAGGAAGCTGGTCATTGTTTATAATGTTTACACAGAAACACAATTCAAGTTGGATGAGACATTTCTAAGTTCGACTCGAGGTCCCCACCTACACGCCCACTGTTGAGGTCCTCATGTCCATGCTGCCTCAGAGCAGAGTAAATATAGCCAGGATATATTTATGCTGTGAGTTCATCGGCCAGTCCGTCTCTGTTTCTGACCTAATGGGAGGGACAGACAGGAACCAGTTGCAGGCCTTGTGATCTGTGGTCTGTCCCAGTGAAAAAGTGATGTTGACCCACTTGAATTTGATTGCATTGGCCAAGGAGGGCAACTTGGCAGCATTTTCCACACAGATAATGCCACTTAGCTGCTAAATGCCAGTGCATGACTCTTCTGATCTTATTTACCCATTCATACCAGAAGCTGCAGAACTCACAGCTGATTGCTGCAACACAATGATGTAAGTTACTTTTTATGACTTTTATCCGACTGCTTACACCTACTTTTGACTTGAGACTTCACTCAAAAGTATCAATGCAAGCTAAGAGCAGATTTATTGCTGTGCACCTGGTTTTCTGTTGCACACGGCACAAGGGTATGGGCTCCAAAGATTGTGCAATCACAGATGCCAAGGTCTGCTGTTGAGAAATAAAAACATACAGATGACCTAAAGCCCCGTGCACACCTAGATATGCTGAAGCTTCACTTTTCTTCTCAACCAGAGGCGGTTTTACCATTAGGCATAGGTCGGCAGCCGCCTGGGGCCCCCTTGTGTTGGGGGGCCCCCTAGCCCTGACCGCCGGCACCCCTCTGTTAATGCCACAATATTCTTATTACCAACCTGTCGCTGTAGACGGATTGGACATGCTTCTCATGACCATAATTCCTGAACCGTTCAAGATATTAAAATTCCAAAAGTGCTGAAAAGATTAAACATGGGGCTTTTCGTGCTACAATACATTACGGTAGCCACCGGGATTCCCTGTCTTGAGCGCAACGAATCACAACACAGATTCAGACGTGCCGAGTTTGTCATCCAAAATGCTCCATTTTATAACTTTTGAATGGCTGATCAAATTCAAAAAATTCCAACGGTTAATAAAAGTACATAAAGGCAGCTTTCCAACGATCTATAGCATGAAGCAATCAGAGTTAGAGAAAATATCGCTACGAGGGGAAATCCTGCTGTACAGCCTGATTGAAACGGAGCGAAGCGCCGCAGTGAAAGCGGATAACGGAACGGGGAAGCTAATCAGCATAAAAACCAGCATGAAATTATGGAAATGCCTCAAAGAACATCAACACGATCTATTAGGTGTCCCAGAAGGCTTATATCTGAAGACAGTGACCACGAAGAAGGACAGATCTCCAGTGAACCAGGATATGAACGTTTGTTCTGTCTTTGTTTTTAATTTTTTTATTTGAACAACCCTCAGCTATTTGCTTATTGTAAGATTCAGCTTCATTCCAGCATTATTTATCTTTTTACAATAAATAATTATTTTTGCTAAAACAATAGTTTTTGGTATAGCGGTGCACGTGTGCCAGAGAAGCACCACATGGCAGTGTGAGGTGTGCAGGACTCTGCCTGCAACTGGAGAGAAACTGCTTCAAGGTCTACCACATCAAATAAAAACGTCTGAAAGTTTACAAAAATAAATGGTCTTAAAAACTGCTAAAAAAGATACCAAGTTTCAAACTTTTTTAAGAATAGATGCATTTCAGTTCAAAGTTTAAATTGTTCATTCCAAATTGTTTGCCCAGTAATTTTAAAGTTCCTGTTCAGTTAATAAAGGGGAAAAAAATCAAATCCCCTTTTTGCTTTTTTCACTTTTAAGCTGATTTTTTTAAAGGCTTTAATCGGAATAAATTATAAATACAAACCATACACTAAAAGCTGAGGTTGTTCTGAAAAAAGAAGAGTTACACACACTTTGCACTTTTTATTATAATGTTAACAAAATACCAGGCGGCCCTGTTATGATTATAATTATGGTCATAAGAGGGTTATTAAGATAGCGATGCAAAAACAGGAAGTGATTGGTAGTCATTCCACTCCACTCCAGCTGGTGGCGGTAATGCACCAAATGGTTGTTTGCCAGGTGCACTGGCAGGAAAAAGAAAGCAGAGCAAATATCGAAGGCGCTCAAAAGGAGGGAAATACAGGATAAAAGAGGAGGACAAATAAAAAGGGAAAATAACTCATGTCAGAAGAGGGGAGAGTTTCGCAAATCCAGTTAAAGGTAAGACTGTTGAAAATTTAGTGTAAGGGGCCCCATGTCTGTGTTTGCCTTGGGCCCCTAAATTGCTAAATCCGCCACTGTTCTCAACCTAAGCAATATTTCAGTGTCATATTTTTCACAGCTGGTATTTCAATGCACTAAAATCTGTCGCTCATTTGATGTTCCACTCTGGTTTTGGTTTCATGTCCTGCAGCTTTATTACTACTTAATTCCCTTAACAGCTCTGTAATGCCAAAAGCAGGCAGCCACTGCAAACGGCTCTTGCTCCTGTACAGACCACTGTACACATGCATGTGAAAACGCCTTGCCTATAAACTGGTTTTATTTTAAAGGCTCAAATTGTTTTTAAGAAGGGTGTGAAACATGAGCAGACATTGTAAGCACGCTTTAAAGGAGCAAGTCCCTTCCTGTGAGTGTTTTACTCATGCGCATAAATCATCAAAGAAGTTTTACAAGCAGTTTCATTTCTAAATGTTTGTGTAAAGTATGGTTTAATAGGTGTGACTGAACATTTCCTTCAGTAAAGTTTGAATACATTCTAAATAATGTTTTCTTTTGTTTTTCAGCTTGATGATTGTGCGCTTCAGCTCTCCCACAATGGGACCTATCTGGATCTGGAGTCCTCTCTGGCGGAGCAAAGAGATGAGCTGGAGGGATTTCAGCCGGATGACACGGGGTGAGGCTCACTTTATATTTAAACCCTCATAATAACCAGACTCCTACACTTCTTATCAAATCAAAAGCACATAATGAGATAAAGGGATTGGACACCTTTCATTGGCTCGACCTTTCTGAGTTCCCTCGTTCTTATAAAATGAGGAGGTTCACAAACTGCTGGATGTGGATTTCTTGGAAGCGCAAGTTTGTGGAAAGTATGAAGCGCTCTGGAAATCAGGTCAGATGTGCCCTTCCTTTCCACAGGAACAGCTCTTCTTTCAGGTTTTTAGTGATACACTAGTTCAAACAGTACAATGTCACAACTATTTAGTTTGAGAGTAGAAATAAAATACTTAAAATAAAAGTGTTTATAATACTTTCTGTCTCTGTTGAGTTTGTCTGTGAGGTCACCGGAGTTCAGGATTCCCTAAAAGAAAAATAGTTAGAAATGCTGTGTCGGTACAATGAAACTACAGTTGTGTTTGTGACACTGATTATGCACGATCACAGTTAGATACACATAATTATTTTAAATGTAAGTTATTTAGACTAAGTAACATGAACAAATGCAGCTAAAGAGCAGTGAGAATGCAGGTTTCTGAGGAGTTATTGTGCTCAGGGCATTCTCTGGTAAAATAAGCTCTAAAACAAGCTGCAGGCATTAGCAAGCTTGGTCTCCAGCGCAGCTTCCTGTAAAATCCCTTTAAGCAGTTTAAATAAGCTTTATATCATAGGCTATTTGTTAAAGCTAGCGCTATCGAACCTCCTTCCTTCATGTCCCCAAACCCCACCCCACCTCGTTATGCTAGCATATAGTGTGTGTTGTTTTTATGGTGAAAAAAAGGCAGTTTTAGCTTTCTTAGTTTATCTTAAATGACAAGAGTTCAGTGCCACTGACAAAATGGAGAAATTCCTCAAACAAGAAAACTTGCAGAAAAATACTGAACTCTCCTTTATGCATGCTCACGGGGACGCACGCACAACAGCGTTGGGACTTAGCTATGTTCCTAGACAACAACTCTGTCCCCTAAACGTTTCTCAATAAGATCAGAAGAAGACTCTAAAACAACTACTTAAATCAGAATCGCAAACAGAACAGGACATTCCCTCCAGGACACTAGGTGGCTAAGCTAGCTTTCTGTTTGGCTGCTCCACAGAGAATGAGTGTTGTGTGCAGCAGGGTGGGAGACGTTCAGAGGAGCAGTTTGATGGATGGGTTATGACCCAATCACTTAGAAGGGGGACCAGTGCTTGATTGGATGTGGCGTATCTAGGATTGTACGCTTCAGAAGTGATTGAAATAATTCTTTTTTTTTTTTGACAAAACATTTAAAATTTTTGGTATCCTACGGTATATGAAGAACATTTCAAATACTATGGCAAAAATGTTCCTGAATGAATCTCAGTAAGCTACATGCTTACCTGGTTGCCACATAAAAAAACGATCTAGCTAACTGTTACTGTCCAAAATCAGAGGCTGCTTCCTTCTAAAGACAACACAATGGAAATGGGTCTGGGTCCTTTGTGGACCACATACGATTGGAAGTTAGCTGCTGAGAAACTGGACGGTTTGATCTTTAGATTTATTCTCACTCTTACCTCGGTATATGTCTAACCAGATGCCCGAGACACCTCAAATGGCTCCTTGCAATGTGGAGGAGCAGCAGGTCTACTCCGAGCCCCTCCAGGATGAACAAGCTTCTCACCTTATCGCTAAGGGAGAGCCCAGCCACCCTGCGGAGAAAACTCCTTTTGGCCACTTGTATCCACAATCTCATTCCTTTGGTCACTACCCAAAGCTTGTGACCATATGTGAGGGTTGGAACGTAGATCAACTGGTAGATCAAGAGCTTTGCCTTCCGGCTCAGCTCTCTTTTCATCACAACAGACCGGTACAACACCTGCATCACTGCAGACGCAGCACCAATCCGCCTATCGCTTTCCCAATCCATCTTTCCCTCACTCGTGAACAAGACCTCGAGATACTTAAACTCTTCCTCTTGAGGCAGGACCTCACCGCTTGACTGGAGAAGGTATCGTACCTTTATCCGATTCAAGACCATGGTCTCGGATTTAGAGGATCTGATTCTCATCACAGCTGCTTCACACTTGGCTGTGAACAACTCCAACGAAGCTGGAAATCACTGTCTGATGAAGTCAACAGGAACACATCATCTGCAAAAATCAGAGACTCAATCATTAGGCCACCAAAACAGATGCCCTCAACACCTTGGTTGCACCTAGAAATCCTGTCCATAAAAGTTATGAACAGAATCGGTGACAAAGAGCAGCCTTAGCGGAGTCCAACTCTCACTGGGAACGAACCCGACTTACTGCCGACAATGCGGACCAAGCTCTAACACTGGTCATACAGGGACGTAACAGCCGAATTCAAGGGTACCTCATACTCCCAGAGTACCCCCCACAGGCCCCCCCTTGAGGATGGCGGTTGAATGCCTTATAGTATAATCTATATGTGTTTTGTGGATTTGTATAAGGCTTATACAAATCCACAAAACACATATAGATTGGTTGGGTGAACTCCCACACACCCTCCAGAAGCCCCCCTAGAGTATAAAGCTGGCCTAGTCTTCCACAGCCAGGGCAAAAATCTATTTAATCAAAATAAACTTTTTCCATACAAAATCAAACAACAGTATGATACATCCATAGCACCACCACACACTTTTTGTAATTTCCTCCTGAAAACTAAAACAATCCTCTCACCGAGCATCTCCAGCGCTTTATGTACAATAACTCATTTGTGTAAATGTATCTGAGAATGCTTCCCACACATGAAAAATGTGTTGTGACTCCAGCTGTGGGACACAGCTCACCACAGCTGACAGTAAACAAAGTCCTTTAGTGACACCAGTGAAAGCTCAGTGTCCACAGAGTCAGAAAAACCTCTCTTTGGTCCACTTTTACCTACCTGTATATTAGCAAAAACAACATCTGTAACTCCAAATCCTCATTTGTTCATTTTTTACCACTTTTCTCAATCAGTTCTCTCACCAAATATGCTCTGACTCATTGCCTTGGCTCTCATTCTCACACAACAGATTATCAGAAGACAAATGGATTTGTTCCATCAGCGTTTTGACAGATTGTGTTAACATTTTGCTCTGTTTGCCAGCAAAGATGATGAGGACATAATACGAGGATAAGAAGCCAGCTGCTCTCCCCTGCATGGTTTCCCTCTGTGCTAGTTATGGGCAGCGTGTGCTATCAGATGAGTGATTTTCCTGTTTGGTCTGATGCTATCAGCTTGTCAGGGATTGAAGTCGCTACTTAGCTCCTTAAGATTGACAAATAAGAGTTTTTGCTCCTAAAATGCTTTCATACTTGGATATTTTTATGCTTGGAATGTGGTGTTTGGATGTGTGCACAGTGAGATAATTGCATGTGGATGTGTTTTTGTTTGAGTGTGTGTTGTGTCTGCAGCTCTGCTGTCCCTATCCATAGAGGTTGAGATGTGTATCGTCATAGGGGTGCTGTTCTCCATCGTTATCCTTCTAAATGCCTTCAATTTAAAACGCCGGGAAAGTTTCAAACTAGAGAAATTTCATCGCAATAACTATTTCATTTTTTGAAACTGAACAAGGAAAATCAGTTTCGTTTTCCACATTTCCCAAATAGAAACTCTTTTAATGTGCGTAAAAACACTTTAAATGCATAATTATTCATTTTTCTTGCCTCTCAGGTCAAGAGGGAAGAAGCACAGCGTTATTTTACGGACCCAGCTGACTGTGCGTGTGCACGCCTGCATTGGTGAGTACAGTTTGTCTTGATATGAAATACAGACATTTAAATCATCAGAAACAACAAATCCTTGGGAATGCATTACAGTATATGTCACAGCCTGAGCGCTGTCAGCTGTTCATGTGTGGTACACATGTGACTGCTGTGTTTCTAAATACAACACTGTGATTTTTTTATTACTTAAAATCCGAGAAATAATTCAGGTGTGAATGTGATGTCACAGTTTAGCTCTGCTTGCACCTTGCTGCGAGCCAATCTGTAGTTTAGAAGCAGAGAGGTGTTACCAAAAAAAATTCCTGGAGCTATGTTAGGAATTAGAAAAGAGAGTAAAAACAGATGGAATCAAGAAGAAAATGACAAGACGTGTAATCATAAAGGGGATTTCTCATCATTCTTTCCTGTTTGACACAATTTCAGCTAATATATATTTTCTTAACAGACCAGTCTGGCAGTCATCGCAACCCAATTATCTGTTACATGTATTATATGTCTACATGTTGTTTTATATATTTGCTAAAAGTTTACTAATTGTTTTGTAGAATGTTTCAAAAGATTTTTATTTATCGCACTTTTAATTCAAAACATGGAAATTACAATATAAAACAATCCCTCTAGTTAAGTCTACATCCTTATGACAGCAATAACTTTAGGATTATTAGTGAATGTTTAACTAATTAGCATCTGTAGTCAACCTAAACCTACATAAAAATGGCTCTTATTTATTTAAATAGGTTTTTTTATGTGTCGATGGTGTGATTTCACATCTGGTACTTTTAACATCTGACCAAAAGACTCCACCACTTCTCAGCATCATAGTTCAAAACTCTAGCATGACAGAAGGTGAACATTTACCATAGCCAACATGCTAACTTAAATCCTAAAAATAAATAGGTGGTCAGATGTGCAGGACTACTTGGTTCACTCAGGAAGGGAACTTAGATAGGTCAGATATTTCAGTTTATTGGAAATATTTTTAGAATGACTGATCAATAATTTGATTTAAAGATGCAATACTGTATGTATGAATGACATCTTGTGATCAAATTTAGTCCCTCCAGTCTATTTTTTAAGCAAACTGTCACTTTCTCACTGCCTTTCTTTGAGTTTTATGGTTGTTGCCAAAATATCAGTGCCAAAGGATTCTAGGTGATAAGCAATGACAAGTCAAAAAACATTGTTATATCTGGTGTTAGCACTCTTACATGTTTTACGGTAGGGAGTACTTACTACACTTATTATGGTAAAATTTCTCCAGAATTAGAGGGATTGTTGTTGTTTGCCGTCTTGCTGTTGGCATGCTGTTATAGTTCAACGACTCATTAAAGGAAGCAACGCCATGATTGTCCCATTATTCACTTCACACATACATTTCACAGTAATATTGATTGGTTCATAATTGAAAAAGTAGCTTGTGAAGTTTTTAGAGTCAACTATTTGCTTTTAAGTCAACTTAAGCATTGTTAGCTTTATGTTAGCTCAACGTTAGCATCTAGCGTGCTTCTCCTGATATCAGAGTAAAAGAAAAAGATGCCATGGGTTTTTAGAAGAACTTAAAAAAGAAAAAAAACTTCTGGGTCACTCCTGTTTGCTTGCTTCTGTTCATTGAATAACTCTGGAGCTTTTTGCCTGCCAGTGTTGAACCACATGTACCAGTGCTGTAACGTTAGCTCGGCGTAGACTCAGCAACATCACCGGCTCACAGATTTAATCCCTCCCAGGAAAAAACTTGGGTCCACCTTGTTTTCTGCATAAATCCAGGGCACTGTGAAGCACAGAGGCATGCCAAGCCTGTAGGTGTCAGAATAACTAGATGATGGACAATAACTGTCCATAATGTCACCATTTGCCTGTGGTGATCTGCATAGATCAGAAATTGAGGTTGTAAAAACAAGGGAGTGATGTTAGCGGACGTTGCAAAACTTAGAATCCCAGTCATTTACATCCACAAGCAAATGCTGACAATGGAGAATTTGCAAATCTCCACTTTAGTCAAAATTTTAAAAAGTTGTTTATCTTCATTTTGTAGAAAAATACCTTCATTTTGTGGGATACCCGGCTACAATTGCACAAGCTATAGGACGTCTCACATAAATTTTCACTCCAATGCCTTTGCCTCATTTCCTCCATGACCCACCTGCACAGTCGACATTCTTCATGCCATCAATAGCCGTGCTAAAACTGGATCAGGGGAAGTGCGGCCTTTGATTGTATGAGAACATAGTGGGTTTTCCTGAGAGAAAACGTGCCCAGGATGAAAAAAATTATCTGGATTATTCTATATTCCCGTCATTCTCTTTCTTTATTCAAATATTTAGTGTGTCAGGTTGCATCATTAGGCTTAGAAGCAGTACATTCCGAATTTTTCCTGTTATAAACTCACCTCAAATGTAAATGTAAATCATAAGATAACAAATGACGGTGAAATATTGGATAATTTGATGATTTCTGATGTTCGTCCTTGCCGTTGTGATGTGGTGTAAACTGACTTTCACACTCAGAAATGCAGTCACGGATTTCCCCTGGCTTTAAAGCAAACCAGTATGAGGCTATATTTACTTGTTTTCATTCAGTAATCTAAAAAAAACATTTTAATTAAAGGCAAGAGAAGAGAAAGAACTGCTTCATCATTAACACATGCAATGTGTTTTCTTTGAAAAGACATTCGACTGGTGTATAAACATGGTGACAGCAGTAGGTTTGTTTATTACAATCCAGATTTCCTGCAGCGTGGAACAGATGCTCTGCAGGAATCAGACGTTTACTGGAGCTCTACACTGAAACAGCAGCGTGTATTAAACTGACCTTCTGTACAGCTTAAACGAGTCGGCGTGATCTTCAGAGATCTGATGGACACAAACCTCCTCTGCTGTCAACTCATTTGACTTCCTTTAATCCCACCGGGTCTTCACCTGCAAATCCCCCAGGTAGTGGCCAGAAGACTTTCCACTAAATCAAAAACCTGTCACATCCAGGGATCCAGATTGTTTGTCCTGCTTAAAGAGACTCATTTTCTGATTCAAATAAAGGGAAACATTAATTCTGCTCATATTTTCATCATATTTTTAAGTTTTCTGGTTTCCTTTAGATTTTTGTTGAGTCAGTCACACATTAGGAAAATGCTGAGCCTCCTTTATTTGTTCGCTTATCATATTTCAAGGCCACAAGTGTGAGAAAGAAAAAAAATCCAGCATGAGTATGGAAACTAGACCTCTCCTGGGTATTTCTTACCACTGCTGTAGAAAGATCAAATTACATGCAGGCTTTGCAGTTTGGGATTAAAGAAGTTCTTTGATGCATGTAACTGTGTGTGAGGGTGTGACGGTGTTTGTGATTTAATGAGTTTTTCTGTCCTAGATGAAAAGGAGGACATATTGGCCCAGTCAGCTAGTGTTTTAAGGTGCTTTAATGATTCAAGTCTGGCCAATGAGGACTCGACTGATGCCCACCGGGGAATCTGGCTGTTTTTTTATGCAGGTCAGATAAACGACATTTTTAGTGTTAGATTTTGCTTAACAAGGTGCGGTCTGAAGCTTGCCATTTTCTCTTTATCCCATAATAATGAAAAACGCTTGTTTGAGGGTTAGTTTTAGTTGTTTCTGTGAGAGCGGACTTATGGATTCTGGCTGGAGGGTGCAGAGGTGTGCGCTGAAGTGGGGGTGTTATCTTTAGAAAGTGTCGACAGCACAGAAACATGCGAAGGTGGCACTGCTCCGCAAACAACCCCTGCTTGCTAAAGTTTACAGACTGTAAAGCAGGAAGGATAAATGACATCGGATGGGCTAGAAAATCTTTTCTTTTCTTGATTTTATTGACAAGATCTGACTTTAAACAATAACACGAATGAAAGTTTGTAGCCAAACTACATGCATCAGCATCAATGAGACCCACAGGGCACCACTTATTACATCCAGACTCCATGCTGGCCTAACAATAACTGCTTGTTCTGTGGTATTGTAATGAAATCACAGTTAAAGAGCAACCCAACCCTCCTTCAGTTTTAGAGTTTTACATATCAGGATATAAATAAATAATATAATTTTTACCATTTAGTCAAATGTAACCCAGAGTACAAAACACACACCATACACAAGCACAATGCACCATGTTATTATTTGTTAAACATAAGCAAAGACTAAATGAAGAAGTGTGTCAAAACCTATGCTCGTTGCTTTCTTGTGTAATTTAAAGGTACAATAAGTAAGAATTTTACTGTCAAATAATCACAGTCTAATGTCTCAGCCATGTTGAAGGAAAGTTACGTTGAAACAGATTTTGTCAGATCTGTCTCACCTCCATACTTCCTGGATCCACAGCCAGTCATATTTGAGTCCTCAAGGTTGAGCAGCAAATGCTGCAGTGCCTGCAAAGAGCTGTAGCGTTGTAGAAGGAAAGTTAGCCAGTAAAAGGAGCAACCCAGAAGTTAGTTCTTGTACCCCTAAGAAGCCACAGCACCTTTTTGTTTTACTCTAATGTGGGGCGAGGAAGGCTAGAACGTAATGTTGAGCTAACGATGAGCTAACAATGCTAATTGTGAATCAGATAAACTCTAAAAATTCCTCCAGCTACGTCTTCGATTACCAACAGCTTGATATTATAGTGAAACGTAACTTACTGTGTATGACTCGTCTTCACTCTTGATCAATGGCAACCCCCCCCCCCCCCAGCAAAGCCAGTGTTAATAAATCCTATTAATGTTCACTCAAGCTATAAATTGATCTTATTTATTCAAGACTTAATTGTAAAACAAAATAAAAATAATCCAATGAATGAGTAAAAATAAATTAATCAGAATTAAAGCTGCAAGCAGCGTAGTTCGGCCTTCGCAGCTCCGTGCCGCTCCGGCCTGCCCAGCAGCCTGGGGCACCCGGGCATGTCCGCGTAACAGAAACGCCGACCACCCCGACACCAGAAATCGTGAATGGTCTCCTCGTCTGCACCTTACCCTGACTCAGCATCTCCTTTGAGCCCACCACTAAATTATACATCTCACCACTAGGGGATACTGTATC